CCACATCTTTATTAACACATATTATGTGGTCATGTCTTAAATATTTAACTCACCACTATTAAAGCACTCATTAGCTCACACATATGAAGTTTTTTCCATATTTAGTGTCTAATCACCACATTTTTAATTACTGTTCCAGTTTGTAATGAGCCCTTTAACTGGAAGTGTTTTTGTTATATTAGTATTTTTATTAGTATAACTATTACTTTTATTATTGCTGGTGTATTTATAAGTGGTCATGTTTATTTCAGTATTTTTACATTTACATAACTTCACAGTAGTTAAAGGCTAAACCCCAAATTTAAATCTGTAAAGCACTTTGAGTTCGGACTCATCAGTTCACCTCTGAAAGCCTCGCAGTGGCTCGTCATAAAATGGTCACGGCGTGGCTCTTGTTAATGTGTCACACTTTGGAGTACGAGCACTTTTCATTTTAGCTGATGCATGACTGGACGTCAAATTCCTCGACTTTTATGCTCCACAAACAACAATTAGCTGCCTCGGGGAGCATGAAGCAGAGATCTCTCAGGGATCTTTGCAGAGGGAAATGTGCGAGTCAGCTGAGTGTGTGTTTCTTTTAAAGGAGGAGGATGTGAAGTGGGGCTACACCATGTGACTATCAGCATGACGGCACTGGGGGGGATCTGACTTCTTTGAGAACAAGTTGACAGTTTTAGGAAGCCCAGACTACTAACTTATCTTCTCAATTTCTGATTCATTTTAATGTATGATGCTTCATCAGAGGAAGGCACACGAAGCTAAACTAGGTACTCGTGAAGATTGTAAGTAGAGTAAGCTGTGGAATAAAAAGTTTCTATATTAAGAAACAACTTTAACTAAAAGTTGAAATGAGTTCAAACTCACTGAGAAGCAGTACTTGCCTTTTCTGGGCTTTCTCCTTTCTCGAACATCATCTTGAGGCTGTTGAGGGGGATGCTGGGCTTCTCGCACTCGGGCACTTCAGCTGCCGATGCCGCCGCTCCCTCCTGCTCCTCTGACTCTCTGCTGGGCTTCGCCTCCATGTCCGTCATGTCCTGGCTGGTCTCTCTGGTTACTCTGTGAACCTGGATCTCTGTATCCTGGTCCTGTGAGACTACTGTAGTTTTTAGGGGGTCTTGCTGAAGCTTGATTTGGGATGAAGGTGCAGATCTGGAGCCTGGTAACGTGCTGACTGGAGTCCGAGGGGCCTGAGATTGGGATCTCTGGATGGACGGCGGTTCCTGCTGTTGCTGCTGCTCCCAGCGTTTCTTTAAAACACTCAGGTTCCCGCCACACAGTGTCGAGGGTAGAGCTTCCACAACCTGAGCAGGAAACAGTCACTCGGTTAAATTTTTTACCTCTGCAGCATCAAAGGTAAAACAGTTTTATAACTATTAGTTTCAATAAATCTTAAGACTCTTTATGTCAATTTAATTAACATCATCTAGGTTCATTTTCCTCCCATCCCCAAAAACAAAGATATGGACATAAAAATATTGGATATGCAAAGACTGAAATATATTTCCAAACAATGCAGAGCATTTCTGATTATACATCCAAAACCTTTCTGCTGTCATATTTAGTTTTTGTGTCAGGAAACAAGAAAAGATTCATATCTGAAAAGACAAGTCGATGTGGGTCAGATGCACAAGTCTGTAATGTGCAGTGCAAGTCCAGTTTTCTGTTATTGTAAG